AAAGAGAGAAAGGCATACAGGATTTTACTAAAAATTACTACGATATTTAATGACAAGAACTTTTGGATCCGGCTGCTTTCATCCCAGATACAAATATAGAACTAATACCATATTATTTTCTCGAGTTCCAACTAGCATCATCACAGTGTGATTCACACATCCGGAGATTAGATATGATTTGCCCAAAAAATAAACATGGGAAGTTTGGATTTCACTGGAGGGTGCAAACACGCTATTGGATCATGCAAAAAAGGGGGAGGGGTGTATGCCTCAATCCCTCTAATTGTTCCACATACGAAAGGATGTCCAAATAATTGTGCAAACTACATTACATAAGGTGATATCTTCTTGAGGCAAGTATCATCCATGGTACGACCCATAAAACACCGGCATGCGCACTCAAATAAATTTGCACAGAAATCAGGCCACATCCGAACAATCTCGCACTCTATTTCTTCATCATCGAGCTTCTATAATAACAAAAACATATACACAATAAATATTTGAGAAAACAAACAAATACAACTACAATTTCAAGAATGACATCGACGCCTTCCCACAATAGTGCATCACTTCATGTAATGGACTAACTAGATTTAATCGCTTCCAACACATATTTCAGCATGACAAACATTAGATCAAGCAACATCTAATTGATGTCATACTTACAAGTCTAAGAAAAAAGAAACCAACAAAGACGTCAACTAATTACTTAACCTCCCAAAGTGTATCCTTGCGGTGCTCTCCACCTTGTCAAATAATGATTTTCAAAGCATTCTATCCCTAAAAGAAGCAACAAAACTTGCATTGTAGGTGGACACATTGTGATCCCCAAAATTAGGTCATCACCAATGCACTTCCATCCCCTGGCAAGAAGGGTGTTGGAACTCATATTTTACTTCTTACCTTGTTAAAATAAATAAATACATTATTGACACACTCCGTTCTATATCCTTCCACAGATACACTAGCAAATTCCTCTCTTTCCCTCTAGATTTTTTCCCTCCCCGAACACCCAACTTTCTCACCTAATGGGCCGCCAGGTTCGAGTAGCGATTAAAAAGGTACCATATTAAAAACCCTTTGTCATGTCAATATCGACCTCTCTTCCTTAAACCTAATGCCTCATAATATATTCTATACTTCTTATATGATCCTTTGAGATAACATAAACCCTTGAAGAGTTGAATTTTTAGAAAGAAAGCATGCTCATTAAAACTGGATGCCAGAGAACTTTGTATTTTTTCTTACCTTCCTAGTAAACTAACTATGTTGTAACTACGATTGTAATAGGTTCCTAATTTAGCATTTCATTAGATGATAGTAATGTTATGTTATACTTTAGCATTCTTGGACAACTGAATCATATATTTCCCGAAAAACACCCTCAATTAATTTTCATAAGATGTACAGTTTAAAGGAAATCAATGAGAAACTAAAAATTTGCCACTAGAAAAAATGAATGTCAGAGAAGCCATGCTTACAGATAAAGCAACTACTAAAAGTTGAAGGGATGCTGGTTTTTACTAGATTTAATTAAAAATTATTTAGGCATACTTACAGAATTTTGGGCTACTTTTACAACAATATATGGTGATTAAAGCCAAACCCAAACTATCTACCATCACCCACAATACACATAATAACCTTTATTAACAACATATTACCATCATCAATAAAATAGAAGAGAAGAAATTGATCTGATATATGAAATAGTACCTTTCCGCGAAGATGATCATATTCTCTCTCATTTATGTGGATATAAAGGGTCCTAGCAAAACTAACAATGTCAATCCACCCTTTTTGAGACCATCCTGCGTGAAGACCACTAGATTGAACTTCTTCACTGTTTGTTTTCTTCTTCAAATCTCGAGCCCCCCATTTCTCCCATATCACTTTATAAACACCCTGCGTCAGAACAGTCCACCTATGCTTGGATGCAATTTCCGACTCTGTAAATCTCTCTTAAACAGTCCACTTATGCTTGGATGCAATTTCAAATGATTGCTGATGGCCTGTTGGGTGCCTGATATATGAGAAGGTTAACCAACGGCGAAGAAGAGATGAGCGAGAGGGACGGGCAGAAACAAATTGGGAACTAAGTAAAAAATTTCTCTTTCTTTTTTTTTCTTCTTTTTTATGGAAATGGTTTATAAATTCTTTTTTTTAATCTTTTTAATAAGATATATATCCCATAATTGTTACTCCCTCTGTCCAATATTAAAGTTCCCACTTTGACTTGGCATGGAGTTTAATAAACTTTAAAATTTGCTTTGACTTTCCCAAGTTACCCTCCACCTTAGCCCCACTTACCCACCCATACTTCCTACCCCCTCTGCCCTCTCCCATGTCCTGAAGACCAGAACCAGACCAAAGCACAAAATCGAGCAAATTTCCAGGGAGAGAAATTTCTCTCAACCTCAACATTTCAGAATTCTCGCAGGTAATCTTAAGGCCATATTCGAGCTATTCCCGCACTAAAGTAGAAAAATCAAAGATATGAAAAAAATGAAAAATATTTGAAGATGAAGATGACTTGAAGAAAAAGAACCTTCGTTGATGTTGGCCTCCTTCATAGATCGGAATCGAACTCAGATCTGAAGCAAATTTTTTAGATCTGACGGAGATTTGAGTGATTTGATGACCAAATCTGAAGGGGGGG